TAGCTGCCTATAAATAAAGGGTAGAAATTCAGTAGTAAGCACTCCGGATTTCACAAATTCACACGAATTTTGATTTCCCTCTCTCTCCCTTAATTCTCTTCATCTAAACAATTTTCTTTTCTTGGTTTTTTCGACTGGCTATTTCAGCCAGATACTGGACTGCCTATTTTCGCCAGATAATTTAGAAAGGTGTATGTCTAGAACGATTTATCAGTCCTGGAGACGTCGTCATAAATCGACTGCTTTGCATATTTTGGCAGTACGGCGAAACGTCTTAAAGAAAGCGACCTAGTACGCGACTCGTCCCGATAATTTCCTTGTGCCAATATTTCAAATCCGAAAACAACAATTTTAAGACGTTTTCATAACTGCCATGGCAACTGAGGAAATTATCGGTACTACTGCGGCCGCTTTGGTCTCTGACAAACCTTTCAGGTTTGAGGGTTCCAATTTCAAACGTTGGCAAGCTAAGATGAAATTTTTCTTAACTCTGAAAGAGGTTGCCCACGTTCTGACTAAGGATATCCCGGTTGTCCCTTCTGCATCATCTGAACTACCTAACGGTAACTCACTTGCAGATTCAGACGGGACTTCCAAAATGTCTGACTCAGATGCTGCAAAAGCTAAGGCTGCAGCAGATGATCTGCAGCTCCGAAAAGAAATCGCCTTATGGCACGAGAATGATTATCTGTGCAAAAATCACATTCTGAACAACCTTGCTGATGATCTGTACGACTACTACAGTAGTTACAGAACTGCTAAATAGGTATGGGAGGCTCTGAAAAGGAAATATGATACTGAAGAAGCAGGTGCGAAGAAATTTGTTGTCAGCCGCTACTTGAACTACAAGATGGTGGATGAGAAGTCGGTGGAAACTCAAAGCCACGAAATTCAGAAGATTGCTCATGAGATTATTACAGAAGGTATGCCCCTTAATGAACAATTTCAAATTGCTGTAATTATTGACAAACTGCCCCCTGGTTGGAAAGATTTCAAAAATAAAACTTCTCCTTCTGTTTACCTTTTGTGTGATTTTAATATTTGGCATGGTAGACTTTGTCACGTTAATAAACGAATCATTTCTAATACAAGCAACATAGGCCTAATCCCAAAACTAAATATTAATGATTCCGATAAATGTGAATTTTGCAGTCAAGCTAAAATAACAAAGACTTCACATAAATCAATAATAAAAGAATCTGATCCCCTAGATCTTATACACTCTGATATATGTGAATTAGATGGAAGTTTAAATAGAAATAATAAACGTTATTTTATCACTTTTATTGACGATTGCTCTGATTATACTTATGTATATCTAATGAAGAATAAAAGTGAAGCGCTTGACATGTTTAAGGTGTATGTAACTGAAATTGAGAATCAATTTAACAAGAAGATTAAGAGACTTCGCAGTGATAGGGGAACTAAATATGACTCTAGCTTGTTTAATGATTTTATGCTGAACATGGTATTATACATGAAACGACTGCTCCATACTCTCCTGAAATGAATGGTAAAGCAGAAAGAAAGAATATGACTCTTACTGAACTTGTAGTTGCAATCATGTTAAATTCTGGTGCTGCACCTCACTGGTGGGGGGGAAATTTTATTGACTGTTTGCTATGTCCTGAATAAAGTTCCCAAGTCGAAAAGTAAGATCTCACCTTATGAGATATTAAAGAAAAGACAACCAAATTTGTCTTATTTGAGAACTTGGGGCTGCCTGGCTTATGTCAGAATTCCGGATCCGAAACGAGTTAAACTCGCTAGTAGAGCCTATGAATGCGTATTCATTGGGTATGCAGCAAACAGTAAGGCATATAGGTTTTATGACCTAAATGCCAGAGTAATCATAGAATCAAACGATGTTGAATTCTTTGAAGACAAATTTCCCTTCAAATCGAGAAATAGTGGGGGCACACAATCGAGTCACATTCCTGTGATAAAAAGCACTGAAAGCAGCGACAATGTAGAAACAGAGCTTCGAAGAAGTAAAAGAGCAAGAGTTGCTAAAGACTATGGGCCCGATTATGCGGCCTATAATGTAGAAGAAGATCCAATAAATCTTCAAGAAGCACTGTCATCTATGGATGCAGACTTATGGCAAGAAGCCATTAATGATGAGATAGATTCTCTAGAATCTAACAAGACCTGGCACTTAGTAAACTTACCTCCGGGTTGCAAACCAATTGGTTGTAAATGGGTTTTGAAAAAGAAACTAAAACCTGATGGAACGATTGAGAAATACAAGGCACGCCTTGTAGCCAAGGGTTTTAGACAAAGAGAAAATATAGATTTCTTCGACACCTTTTCTCTAGTCACTAGAATTACATCCATTAGGGTACTCATTTCAATAGCAGCCATTTATAACTTAATAGTACACCAAATAGATGTTAAAACAACTTTTTTAAACGGTGACTTAGAAGAAGAAATCTATATGGAACAACCAGAAGGATTTGTAATCCAAGGACAAGAAAGCAAGGTCTGTAAGTTAGATAAGTCTCTGTATGGACTAAAACAAGCCCCTAAACAATGGCATGAAAAGTTTGATAACTTAATGATAATTAATGGGTACAAAGTGAATGAAAGTGACAAGTGCGTCTATTACAAATCTAAGAAACGCATTTGTACTATCATATGTCTATATGTAGACGATCTACTTATATTTGGATCAAACATTCAGGCCATTAATGATATGAAATCATTGTTATGCAATAACTTTGATATGAAAGACCTCGGAGAAGCAAGCGTGATCTTGGGTATCAAGATCACGAGATCCGACCAAGGAATTTCTTTGGATCAATCTCACTATGTGGAAAAGATCTTAAAGAAATATAAATACTTTGATTGTAAACTTGCATGCACTCCGTATGATCCAAGTGTGAAACTGTTTAAGAACACTGGAGAAAGTGTCAAACAAGCAGAATATGCGAGCATCATTGGCAGTCTTAGGTATGCCACTGATTGTACTAGACCCGACATTGCATATGTCGTAGGATTGTTGTGCATATTTACAAGAAGGCCGAGTAACGAACATTGGCAAGCTATTGAGCGAGTAATGAGGTATCTTAAAAGGACTATGGACCTCGGCCTACACTATCAGAAATTTCCTGCTGTACTAGAAGGGTATAGTGATGCAGATTGGAACACCTTATCAGATGATTCCAAAGCTACTAGTGGTTATATATTTAGTATAGTCGGTGAAGCTGTATCTTGGAAATCAAAGAAACAGACCATTCTGGCACAGTACACAATGGAGTCTGAGATGATAGCATTAGCTACAGCTAGTGAAGAAGCAAGTCGGTTAAGATGCTTGCTAGCTGAGATTCCTTTATGGGATAAACCTATACCAGCTGTGTTGATCCACTGCGATAGTACCGCGGCTATTGCAAAAGTTGAGAACCGTTACTATAATGGTAAAAGACGTCAAATTAGAAGAAAACATAGCACTGTTAGAGATTGTATATCTAAAGGAGCTGTGAGAGTGGATCATGTACGCACTGATGAGAACTTAGCAGATCCTTTGACGAAAGGATTAGCTAGAGAGAAAGTCCATAATACATCCAAAAAGATGGGACTAATGCCTATGAAGCAATTAGTTACTCATGATGGTAACCCGACCTAAATGACTGGAGATCCCAAGACTTAGGTTCAATGGGTAATAACAAGTTGTGAGTAATATGAAAATGATCATGCAAGTAAAGCATGAATCCTGAAGTAATGACAGGATGAGATAATAGAAACTCTTAATGAGATCTATACTCTGTATGAGGGAGTACCTAGGCTACAGGAGTACTCTTGATAGATTCACCTATGTGACTGTGGAACTGAGGCCGGTTCCTATGGAATTTCGAGGCAGAATTCCTAGAGCATTCACTAAAACCGGGATACACGTGCAGGGCCACTAAAGCACGAGCTACAAGAATACACCTTACGAAAAGGTTGTGTGCGGGTCTGATGTCCGAGATAGAGTTCAAGACAATGGTGTCACTCTTGTTGAATCAGAATCCTACTCGCTACGCTAAGGTTCAAGTCGTAGACACCTTTGCTTATGCACAATCTTAGAAACGTCTGACGTACTTCTAAAATCTCTTTTTAAATTCAAGTGGGGGATTGTTGGAACTATATTAATTAGAGTGGGAATTGGAAAGATTTATTGACAATTAATGGGCAATAAATCAACACAAGTAAGAAGTAATATATAAGTGAATTTGAAAAGATTCATTTTAGTCCCACATTGAAGGAATGAAAAATAAGATTCATTTTAGTCCAACATTGAAGGGAATGGAAATTAAGATTCATTTTAGTCTCACATTGAAGGAATGAAAAATAAGATTCATTTTAGTCCAACATTGAAGGGAATGGAAATTAAGATTCATTTTAGTCCCACATTGAAGGAATGAAAATTAAGATTCATTTTAGTCCAACATTGAAGGGAATGGAAATTAAGATTCATTTTAGTCCCACATTGACGGAAATGAAAATTAAGCCTTACTAGCTGCCTACAAATAAAGGGTAGAAATTCAGTAGTAAGTACTCCGGATTTCACAAATTCATGAATTTTGATTTCCCTCTTCTCTTTCTTATTTCTCTTTTCTTGACTGGTTATTTTAACCAGATACTTTGAAAGGTGTATTTCTAGAGCGATTTATCAGTGTGCAACTGATAATCGTAAGTTGTTTGAACGGGCTGTTTTATCCTGGAGGCGTCTTCGTAAATTCGACTGCTTTGCATAATTTGGCAGTACGGCGAAACGTCTTAAAGAAAGCGACCTAGTACGCGACTCGTCCCGATAATTTCCTTGTGCCAAACTCTATTTTTTCAAATCCGAAAACAACAGACTTAGATAGAACTTCTTATGGGGAGGTTCTAATCACAACAAGAAAATACATTGGGTTAAGTGGGAATCTGTTAGCAAGGAAAAGGAAAATTGGGGTATTGGAATCAAAAGTCTATTTGAGTTCAACCTGGCTCTCATTTCAAAATGAAAATGGCGAATTATGACAGAAGATGAATTATTGTGGTCAAGGGTTCTAACAGCTCGATATGGAGATCTGAAACATCACATTTTAAAGGGAGAATTTGGAGCGAGAAAACCTACATCTGCTTGGTGGAAAGATCTTGTGAACTCAGGAACCGTTATGGCTAATCTTGGTTTTTGTTTTGCAGGTTGTATCAATTTTGATTTCGGTGATGGTAGATCTGTCCCTTTTTGGACAACTAATTGGTGCAACAACATTCCGTCAGCTGCTCTCTTTTCTGATATGTATTGCATTAGTAACACAAAATCGTACTGTGTGGATCAAAGGAGAAGCTGGTCAGACGAAAGCTGGAATTGGGGAGAGTTTGGCATTGATACAGAGGCAATCAGAGGCATTTGGAACAGGCTGCAATCAATGAAAGAGTTTTTAGCAGATTGCAGACCTACTGCAGGAGAAAAAGTTGCGGTTAGATGGATGAGTCATGAGGTGGATATTTTTACAATTAGTGAGGCGTATCGCTTGATGGCGAATCAAACTGATCCGGAACGACTTCTCGACGACCAAAGAAAGGCTTTCAGATGTCTTTGGCAGATTAAGGCGCCGTCTAAAATTGTAGTGTTTGACTGGAAAATTCTGTGGAATAGGGTGGCTACAAGGGACCTCTTGATTAAAAGAGGTATGTCTAGAATTAATCCTAACTGTGTTTTGTGTGATTCAGAGGTTGAATCTGTGCATCACTTGTTTTACTCTTGTGAAATCTCTTCATTAATTTGGGAGAACTTGAGGAATTGGGTTGGAAACAATGCCGTTTTCGTTTATCATAGCTGCAATTTTCTTTTGGACTATTGTGGATCAAGTGGCTTGGAAATGGGACTGCTGTGAGGGTAATCTCATTGTAAATTGTTCTTTTTATGACTTTAACTTGGATCCTTTTTAAAGTTTATGATAGAATTCTGTTATGGAAGAGCTTTTTCTTGGATTCTCTTCTTGGTTGTAAAGGGATGGAGTACCCCTTGTATTCTCATAATCAATTGCTTTAAAAAAAAGTGGTTTATTATGGTCAAAATCAGTTTTGAAATATGAATTCTTATAAAACCAAAATCGGACGGATTACATTTAGTAGATTACTTTTCATCTTTTCATCTTTTTCTAATGTTATCTTTAATTTGTATTCTCACTAATAATGTAAAGATAATAAGAGTGACAAGATGTTTTATCACCGACTTTATTACACTTAACCATGCTTAATTATTTAAATTAATATTATATTTATTAGTGTTCAGATACATGCCCGTTTATCCGCTTTCTTCAATATTGATGTGAAAAAAATATAAATTGCACTATATTTTTACTTTAAATTATTTATAAAATAATGATTTGAAAAATAACAAACTGTCGTATAACTACCGTTGTGAGAAAGAGAGGTTAAAATTTAAAATAAAAACTGAAAAAAGATATATTTGAAAGAAAAAAGACTACACTAAATTTATGTTTTGTCTTTATATATTAGTATAGATGAATGATTTGGAGACAAAAATTAAATCCTAAACACATTTTACTTACTCTGTCTAGTTTCAAGATCAGTTTTAATGTTAATTTCAAGAAGATAAATTTTCTTTATAATTCATCATTAAAATTGTTAATTTAATATTTTCAAATAATTTTTTTTTAAAAAGTGATTAATATTGATAAGAAAATCAAATTAAATTCAAATTAATGCTCATAAATGTCATCGAAATATTTAATTTGAAACTGAGAAAAAAAATCAAGAAATCAACCCATATCTATTTTGTGATCTAGAGGTATTTTTTTATTTTAACAATTGCAGAAATGATAGAATTGGAACAAAAATTTAAATGTATTAAAAATGGTTCAACTCATTCAATCTAAGCCGGATAATCACCCAAATCGAAAACCAAAAATCAATAAAATTAAAAATCAGTTTAGGCTTGCGATTTTGGTTGGATTGTGTGTTTAGGCTCGAATCCGACCGATTGTCCAACTCTATCTTGTAGTAGTATATCTATTCGGAACATTAGATCCTTCTAATGATTCTCTAAAATAGTTGATTGCATTTGTATCCGAAGGATTTTAACCTAAATAGTAGTTATGCACTAGCATCATATCACACGACCAAACACTTAAGGATCATTGGATCATATAAACAATTAGTTATACTAACGCCAATCCATTGGGACAAGTGCATAAGAAATAGGATTAAGTACTTCAGAACATGAAGGTGAACTTTTCCTATATGTACACTCGATCACAATTGACACGGTCCCAAAGACCGTTAGATAGTACTTTGCAGGATATTCTGACATACGTACCATGAGACAATAATGACCAGCAAAAGGTTTTATGGCATAAAAACCCTATAACATCACTATAAAAGACATGCTACAAATAAGTTTATAGTAAACATTATTTCAAACTTAAACTCAACACTTACGATCGTTACTAACTTGGTCGTTGGAGTGTTTTCATGTACACCCCCGTCGTCATAAGAATCTATATGACCATTATCAAAGTTCGTCATCAGATCCACCACTATCTGTGAAGAAGATGCTCATCGTCTTTGGAAACATTGGTTTAGATGAAGACAAAAGGTCATCTTGGAAGAGACATCAAAGAAGAAAAAGATAAGAATGAGGTTTCAAGTTTTCCAATTCATGAAGTACAAGATAAGTGATCATTGTTGAGGTACCAATAGCAATTTATTTTTGAATATTCACTAGGTGTTCATTAATCACTTCATCTAATCATTCTCTAAGAGTCTAAAACATTCAGTCATGTTTACTTTCATGAAACACCTTTAAAAATGAAAGAAAAATGGTTTTGGCTTGGATACAATCTATTGGACAAGCCATGCAATTGATTGTATGAGATTTTTTTTAAGCAATCCAAATGATTAGATGAACCCTACAATCAATTGGACAAATAGTTTTTCAAGCAAATCTTTTTATAGAAAGTTTAGCATAATCAGTTGTGTTATCCCTCACAATTGATTAAATACTTCAAATTTTCTCTAGTTTTAATTCCCTACAAATCGACTCTATGAGGGATACAATCTATTGGATATATGTGTTTTTTAAATATTTTTAAATGTTGCAGCAAATATAATTAGTTGTATAAAATACTACAATCGATTGCACCTTTGTAAATTTTTAGATTTTTTAAACGTTACACTTAATAGAATCAATTTTTTGGAACACCTCAATTGATTGGACTTTCATTATTTTTGAAAAAACCTCAGACAAACATGATACCCCTTCATTATAATCTTTCATGGAATAGTTTCATAACATTGCAACTTTTTTTAAAGGTATCATGATGCTATAAAATCTCATTTTATCAAGTTTTTCAAAATTACTTATTTCCAAAATATTCTTGTGTTCATAACATTTTTTACATAAGCTTTTTACTGCATAAATATAATTTCACCTGATAAAAAGTTTCATACATATAATGAGCACTTAGAGTTTATTCATTTTTAAATTGTTATTTGGAAAAGAGAAGAGCTAAACTTTCATATATTGAATTTAAACTGATTGTCTGTATTAATAAATCATCTGTTGTGTATGGGATTTTTACTGTAAGGAAAGTGTTTGAAATTTCTACAACATTGGCAAATAGAAAGTGTTGTGTAAAAGTTTTTTAAATCAGGAAGATTCAAATTCCACCAAGTTGTTGGTGTTTTGGTTGAAATTAAGGAAGTGGTGTGCTTTCTTTTTGTTGTTATAAAATTGTAGAAGAAGTCTTGGTGTGAGGCTTGTACAAAGATCTAACAATAGTGAAAATCTCTAATAGGTTGTGAGGGGACTAGATGTATCATGTGTTGATAAGGGGAATTAATATACATTATTGTTTTCTTTATTTTTCTGCATTTAAATTATGTACTTTACTTCATAAGTTTATCAAGATATTTCCAAAAAAATAAGAACATAATAACATCTCTAAAATAACTTAAAAATTCTCAAAATCTAATTCACTCTCCTCTTAGGTTGTGCACTCTGAACTAATACTATCAACAACACTCAAAGAAAAAAGGTCTTTACTGGATCATTTGGTGTCGTATGTGGGAACTGTTGCAGTGAGAATCGGATACCAAGTTGTTGAATTAACTTGAATCACAAATCTTCTGAGTTCACAACCGGTCTTTGATTTATCCGAAGGAAAGGTTAAAGAAAGAAAAACCTAATTTGCACTGTAAAAATAATGCAGGGAGATCTAGGGTTCGGGGGTTGGTTATACCTAGGAAAGGTGTTAGCATCCTAAGCATCTGTAGTACTCTACAAGAACCTCCTGTTTAATATGTTATTTGGTAATCTATCTGTTATCTGTATGCTAAAGGGTTGAAGGGAGACCTAAAGGGTTAGTCCTAAGTATACTCGCCAAGAAATCTCATCTTGTGCCTACGTATCCTGACGGGAATGGAATTAGAGTATTCGTAGTTCCCCTCGAAGAGGGTAAGAAACTTCTTGATTATGGTTAAGGTTCTAGGGGGAAGTAAGTGTTCATAGGGAGACGCTTACATGGAGTGCCACGACTCCAAGTCTACGTTGAGTTAAGTTGAAAAAGTAGGTAAGTATCCACGGCGGAAACTTACATGGAGTACGGCGACTCTTGATCCTAAGGCTATGAATAAGGGTAATTAGGTGTCCATGGCAGGACATTTGCATGGAGTGCAGCGACCCCGATCCTAAGGCTAGGATAACAGGAAGGATTTAGAATGTTATGAAATTGACATGACAGTTAATGAGGATGAATTCTTCTCTTCGAAAATCAGTACGAATAATAATGAACGAGTGATAACATAAGGTATAACAAGTCAGAATATAATCATCATGAATAAGCGTCGCGAGCTATTTATCAACTAGTCAAAATTACCTGTCGAGCTCTCAAAATAATTAAAACCAGATTAGCATACTATTAATGATTGATTAAATGAATTAAAATTAACATTCTATTGGTAACTACTTAATTAAATTAATTAAGTTTGAAGTTGAATTAATTAATACTTATTAAATAAAAACTTTAAAACAAACTTTTAAATAGTTAAATAAATAAAATAAAAAAGAGAATGTTTTTAAATAAAAAAAGGTAACGTGGGCCTAAGGCCCACCTCCTACCCAAAAAGAAAAAAACTATAAAAAAATTGAAATTGAGCAAGAAAGGTTGGGCCGGGGTGGTCAAACCCGTCCGAGCCCAACAACGGACAACAACAAAAGAAAAGGGAAAGGGGTAAAAACCCTAATCTTTTCGTCTCACTACCTCTATTCTTTCTCACTCACGAAATCCCTTCCTTGGCTCCCGTCTCTCTCGTTCCGATTGAAGTTCGCCGATGGTGGTTGGCGGAGAAAAAGCAATCACGCAGGGGTGAGATTGAAGAGGTACAATGGCTCCGACGTGATTTCCGGCGAAATTTTGAAGGCTTCGAAGTAAATGGCGATCTGACTATGTCAGAAATTCTTGAAGATAAGTTTTCGATCTCCCTTCTTCCAATCTTTTCCCCTTTTCGAATGTGATTTTTCTGTTTGAAACTTGGGTGAATATTGTGAACTTTTCTTCTATTATCTGTCTGTATGGGTTTGTTGTCGTGTTCTTTATATACTCTTGCAATGAATTTTGAAATCACAACCACATTGAATGCCATTCATTCTACTATCAAACAATGTTTTGGAAAGAGGTTTAAATATGTCAAGAACATGTTTTCAATCTTGTTTTGGAAAGAAAATAAAATCAATATTTTAGCTCTGAACACGTTTGATTTTGTATTACACTTCCCATCTTCAACTGATATGGTTTGGAACATGTTGGTGTTGTTTTTGAAAGAATTTGGATGTGTCTGTTGTGAATTAAAGTATTTCTGTTTTCAAACT